TCGGCCGCATAAAGGTTCCGCCGCACAAAGGTTCCGCCGCTACTGCCGGGGTCGGGGTGCCCGGGCTCACCACCGACACCGGGGCCACAGCGCCCGCCGTGCCGGGGAGCTCGCTAGGGAACGCGGCCAGGCCCCAAGGGCCACTGCTCTGGCCCACAGCGTTACAGGAACATGGCAGCCAATGTCGGGGTTCCTGCAGTGTATGGGGCACCCCTCTCTGCGAGGCGTCCACCACTTCTTGGCTGAGCCCTGGGAAACAGCGATTAAAACAGGAAACGGGACCAAAACCAGCCTCACAAAGGAGAAGTAGCCTTTCCCCGTTCGTGGTTTGGCCTTTGCAGGTCTGTACTTCCAGGATTGCTGCTACAGAGTGGGGAAAAAATCCTAATTTATCCTTCCTGAGATCTGCAGCCAGGCACCAGGATTGTATAAAGCTGTGTCAGTCCCACCCATCACAGAAATCCCTTTGGCAGCTTCTTACCAGTCGGTATAACAATTAAGGCAAAATCTAAGCAATTTAGAGCCTCCCAAACTACTTGGGTCTGTCAACAGCCCCCCGTGAACCCCTACATCCAGGCAACGGAAGGGATGCCCTCCACAATGCCCCGTCAAGAGCTGCTGCAATGCCCTGAGGTCCCTCATTTCCCCTCTCATGTCCCAGCTGCAAAAGCAGCCCCTGTGTGGTTTGAGGTGCACGCTGCTCTCCCCGCAGGTGGCTTCTATGGGAGTGAAGCAGGACTGGGCTGACCACAGCAGGGTCTGGAGCTGGTGGTACGTCATGATATTGGTATCTATAAACTACCGTGACATAAGCACGAGCAGCTGCTCCACGCATCCCACATGCAGCATTTCCTTGAGACAGGAGGACACCTGGGGCACTCACTCTGTTTGCAGCACTGCAGGAAGCTGAACTTTCACAAGTGAAGTGTGTGAGAGCTCGCCTGTCCTCCCAGGCAGACGTGGGAGCAGGGGCGAGCAGGGCTGTCAGCACTCTGGCAATTTAATCTGTGTCCCCATTGCAAAGTAGAGCATTGTCAGCCCAAGTGTAAGCCAAACAAAGAATCACAGAGTGGTTTGGGTTGGATGGGACCTTTGAAGATCACCCAGTTCAAACCCCTGCCATGGGCAGGGACATCTTACACTTGACCAGGTTGCTCCAAGCCCCATCCAAGACCTGGCTTTGAACACTTCCAATCATGGGGCACCCACAACTTATGCAGATAACCTCTTTCAGGGTCTCACAACCCTCACTGTGAAACATTTCTTCCTTATGTGCAGTCTAAATCCACCCTCTTTTGGTTTAAAAACGTTGCTCCTTATAAGGCCTTGCCAATAAATGTGCCAGCTCACACAAACAAAAACATTTCTTTAAAGGAGTTGCACTTCTATTCCTAGACCCAGACTCTGGGAAACAAATGAGGGCTGCCTGAAAGAAGCACCTCTCCTGGGACTAACACATTTTTCTTCAGAAATTCTGGTTTTGGGGATGTGTCTTTGTGGCACCAGAAAGGAGAAAGTGGGCACATAAAGTCTGGGGCTTGACTACCTTTCATGGGGAGGCTGTCAGGAAGGGGAATACAGGCACCTACACTAACTCTGGCCAAGTTAACACTAACACACACTAACTTTCCACCACCTCCACCTCCCAGCAAAGACCAAACCAGCCAGAGCCTCCCGTGGGTGGAAACCCAAACATGCACGGTTTTGTGTCCCAGGTGCTGCCTGAGAGTGAATGAGGAGGCAGGAGCAGCCCGAAGGATCCAGGCAGAGCGTCCGCACTCCGCCCCAACCCAATGGACACATGGTTGTGGGGAAGTGCCCCAGGTCCACGCTGGAGCCCTCAGATATAACGTAAATCCAGCAACAAGGAGTTTCCTCACTTCTAATTTTGGCAGCTAGCACTGCCAGGCGCAGAATACCAAAGGGATGAGTTTTGCCTGCTCTCTGCTTATTGTGCAGCTCAGTTAACCCCACACTTCTGTTTACCTCAACCCCGTCGCCCGGGGCAGTTTCGAGGTTGCGCCGATGCCTTTGCAAAGCTCGCACTGGAACGGGCACAGAGATGATATGTTTTATGTATTGCGTGGAGCGATGGAAGGAAGAGCTGCCTGACACATCGCAGCCTGGCCCACGCGCTCCTTGTGGTCCCTGTGGCTTGGGGCTGGGCTGGAGTCAGAGCCTGGCCCCGGCCCCGCCTTTCTCTTTTTAAAGGTTGTAAAAAGCAGCCACTGTCAGTTTGCTGCCCAGCGACTTCCTCTTTTGACTCTTTGCGAAAGGAGAAAGCGCTTCATGTCTTGGCGTGAACTCCTTCCCCCCTGGCTGGTGATCATAGCGGGACTGACGGGCATCGTGCTCCTTTGTGCCTCCACTAAAGATGTGCCCATCACCCCCCTCAGGACCAAGGTAAGGGCATCCGTCTGACACAGGGGCTGCCAAGCCAGGGGTCAAGTGGGGCTGTAGGCAGAAGACCTTGTCCTCATCTGTGGGTGTGCTTCTTAAGGAGAACCTGCCCGTTTCCTTGTGCAAACCGGGCATTTAAACTAAAACCTGGGGTGTTTTGTTGCTTTTCACATTCCTTGCACTACTGACTTAGTTACTGACCCAAAGCAACACACTAAGGAGGTGACTAGAACGAGAGCTCAAGGATGGGCTTGCATCCTTCAACATGCTGTAGCTTTTCAAACCAAAACCAAGCCAACCCCTTTGGCTGGTCAGGGAAACACAGGCTGGATGTGGTCCAGCAGAGATGCTCATCACAGGCTGAGGAGAGGCAGCCTATGCCAGGAGCTACTCCAGGGCGCATAGGGCCAGTGGTGTCAGTGGAGGGGAAGAGCTAGGTCCCTCCT